AAAAAAAAAACAAAAACAAGCACCTTAAGTGATTCCTGAACACGTCCAAGTATATATGTATTCAAGTTTAGTTCTACAGACATATTGAAGTCTCAGCTGTTTTAAGATCAAGCCTTCTGATTGTTGCCTCCTGTTGCCATCTTGTCTCTAACTTTCCCTTCACTGTCAAACTTTTTATACAGTCTGTCCTCAGTATTTTCCATTTCCTCACTTTTTACCCATTTCTCAACTAAAATCTGGCTTGTAACTCACAAGTCCACTGAAATTGCTCTCACTGAGCACACACAAATGACCTAATTACCAAGGAAAGAGGACACCTGGTAGTCACCATATTATTTAACTTCTCAAGACACTCCATGGGCACCCTCTGCTTACCCTTCCCTTTGCTCTCATCCTGCTGTCTGGGCCACTCTCTCCATCTCAGCCCAGCTCCTCCTCCTCCACTTCTCCCTTAAATGTGCTGCCCAGGGTTCTGGCCTCAGTTCTGTGATCCCTCCTCCCACTCCTGGTGACTTCTTCTGTCCTCATGGTTTCAGTTCTCACCTGCACTGCCAACTCCAAATCTGTGTCTCCAACCCAGACCTCTCTCCAGAGATTGTCCATCCTCCTCTCCATCGACATCTGCAAGCCTGGTCCTGTTATGTCCTCATCGGGGTCTGCGAGGCAGATTCCCTGACAAGGGGCCTCGTTCCTTCTGCACCCATCGAGCTTGTGTGCTGCCTTTGCACCTGGCCTCTCCATGAGACTGGAGCTCTGCTAGGACAGGGGGTGTCTTAGGCAACCTGGAACCCAAGCTCCATTCCCACCATATGGCTGGCACTAAAGAAATCATTTCATGGGCCGGGTGCAATGGCTCATGCCTGTAATCCCAACACTTTGGGAGGCTGAGACAGGTAGATCACTTGAGCTCGGGAGTTCAAGACCAGCCTGGTCAACATGGCAAAACCCCGTCTCTACTAAAAATACAAAAATTAGCCAGGTGTGGTGGTGTGCACCTGTAGTCCCAGCTACTCGGGAGGCTGAGGCAGGAGAATCGCTTGAACCCAGGAGGTGGAGATTGCAGTGAGCCGAGGTCACGCCACTGCACTCCAGCCTTGGTGACAGCGTGAGACCCTGTCTCAAAAAAAAAATTAAATAAATCATTAATGAATGCATAAATGAAACCCAAAGAAGAGGTAAGAAAATGGTAATACTGTAGTAAAAGACATCCGTGAATACTATTGCACCTCTCCTTTGGCTTCAGTTATCCATTCAGTAGACACTTGACGACCTACCTGGCATGGTGCTAGGTGCTTTTCTTATACTATCTCCCTATATTATCTCTTTCTTTTTTGAGAAGCCCAACAAGTAGGCATCAATATTCCCATTTTGCTGATTCAGAATGACTAGCTCGGTGAAGTGATCTGGCCAAGCTGACACTGCACTGTTAATTAACGGTGGAGCTGGGTTGCAACCCAGGAGAAGCCGACAACACTACCTATACCTTCTGCCACATTGTTGAACTAAAGGAAACACCATAGGAAGAAATGGAAATGAATATCAGTTCAGAAATGTCGCAACAGAAACAGATTCTAGATTTGTAAACATTCAGACAAACTCTCCTTTGTGTCCTAGCCAAGAGCCACAAAGGGAGACAGACACCAAGTCCCACAACCAATGACTACTCACATTTCGACAACTTTATCCATAGTTGTGCCAACTGGAATGACATTTGGATATGCGTTCACAGGACAGACGTAGCTCAAGAAATCTTTAATCTAGAAAAAGGAAAATCACATGGATCAACGATCTCTACAATAAAACAGGTTGTTAGGGGAGATAAAGGGAAGCTGGGGAAGGAGAAGCAGAACTCTCTTATGGTTGTGGTTCTCAATGCTGGCTGCACGTGGGGATCACCAGGGACCTCTTGGGGAAAAAAAAAATCCAATACCCAGGCCTCACTCCCAAACATCTCCTGAACACTGAGTACTAGTGAGCCTAGAAATCAGTACATTTAAATGTTCCCCAGGTCATTTTGATCCACAGTAAGAGCTGAGAATCACTAATGGGACTCAAAGATTTTTTTTTTTTTTTTAATATATTGCTTTCCTTGTCCAAGAAGGTCAGTTGCTTATGTTTAACAAATCCCCTTTCAAATGAGAATTTATCTGGGCATTAAGTATAATATACACACACACAAAAAAAACAAGGTCTTAGAATTGCATTTCTTAGCTGGGCACAGCGGTACATGTCTGTGGTACCAGCTACTCAAGGCTGAGGCAGGAGGATTGCTTAAGCCCAGGGATTTGAGGCCAGCCTGGGCAACACAGAGAGACCCCATCTCTAAAAACGAACAACAAAAGAATTGCACTTATTTACTTCTACAAATAATCATTAACGATGCCAAGAGTATTACACCTTTGAGGTTACTTGATTTGTTCAAATGGTTCGTTCTCATTGGGCAGAACACCATGCATTGGTCACTGATTCCAGGGAAGGAACCAAACACTGCCCATTGTATCTTGGTGTCAGAGTCACCAAGGAAAACACAATGCAGTCAAGCACTGGATGGAGCAATGCTTCACTTACTGAGAACGGACCAAGCAAGATCAAGTCCAACAATGTGCACTGGTCCCCAGTGACCAGCATGTCTCTCCCTGCAGCCAACACAGGACTACCTGCCTACATGCAACCCTCTCCTGCCACACAGGAAGGAACCCCCATCATGCTGTCTGAAATAAGGACAGCTGGGGTGTGCCTAAGGGCCATTGACACACAGGCTTAAGTAGAACAAAGGGACACACATCAAGTACAAAGCAGAGAAAGATGTTTCCACACAAGGCACTGAGCTACCGCAGGCTGTGTGCTCACGCTGTCGCGAGCGCTCCTTTCTCCCTCTCCCCCTTTCTCAATAAGGAAGTGTTCCATTCTTACGTGGCCAGTGAGGGTTGAAAGACTGTGCACATAGACTGCCTGTCCCAATGATTAATTCTAAACAAACAATTACATGCAAAAACTTCATGAATACCTTGATTTTTTGCAAAGTTCAGAATGCTAAACAGAGGAACTCTGTCACTATTCCTCAAAACATCTCTACAACCTAGAGGAACTTCAGCTTTGTCTCATTAGACCTTGGTGAGCTTGTGATCTCAGGCAAGTTACCTAATGGTTCTAATTTTAGATTCTTCATTTAAAAGTATAAATGAGATTATGCATGTAAAGTGCTTAGCTTGGTACCTGTTGAAAAAAATAAAATCATCCATTACTAAGTTGATAATGACAACACAAAGACTTTTATGCCCTTCTGCAAGTGGACAGACTAGAACCCAATGTAATTATTAGTATACCACCAAATTGAAAGAGGCAGGAACCCAAGAACTGCCAATAACTCCACATAAAAATAAAAGGGCTACTTTAAGACAGGGGAAAGGCAGGAAGATCTGTTCTTTAGATATTTTTCACAAACAGTATCTTTTGTACCTTCACAGTAGGCATGCAAATAGAAAGCATTACCTGCCCGCCCAACACCTATTTGATTTGCACGAAGTTGAGGCTGGTAGAAATCAGAGACTTTTGAAGGGAATAAAGGATAAAAAAAAAAAAAAAATTAAAATCAAGCCTTTACCAGAAATGGTTCACTACTAATTCTCAGAGATGAAGTGGCCCCAAGGAGATAAGAGACACCCAATAAAGGAGCACCCCCTCTCACTTATACAAGTTGACTCCCTTTTATCAAATGCCTGCCTTAAAATAAGACATCAAT